GTGTGTGTGTGTGTGCATATGCGCGTGTGTGCATATGTGCGTGTGTGCGTGCGTGCGTATACACGCGTGTGTGCGTGTGTGCATATGCGCGGACATACATACGTATACACGCGTGTGTGCGCGTGTGCGTACATACATGGCCGTGTGTGTACATACATGCGCGTGTGCGCGCATGGTTGGCGACCGGGTGTTAGTCGGCAGGAATGGCGGCCGCGAGCACACAGCCACGCGTTGGGCGGGGGCACGCACCGTGATTGAACTGGAACCGATCGTAGGCGCTGGCCGCGTCGTCGACATACTGCGCCAGCAGGTGAAGCACATACTTGTCCGTCTGCCAGCGGCCGGGAGGGTTAGCACCCATGCGCAGGCCCCGCACGGGAGGGAGGCCGGTTGGGCAGGCAGCCGGGGGCGGGGGGGAAGGGCCGAGGAGAAGAAGACGCACCTCGCGCAGGCGCTCATACGGCACGGCGTCACGCCCAAATTCAAAGTCATACAGATTCCCCAGGATAAAGCGGCTGGTGTTGCGCAGCTTGCGCATGGTCTCGCTGATCCGGCCTGCGGCGGAGTTGCAGGGAGGCGCCCCGCCACATGGTCAGCACGCGGGCGGGCCTTTCGCGCGAAATGCCAAGACACCAAAGCCGGGAGGAGCAAAAAAAGAAAGAAAAAGAAAAAGAAAGGAAAAGCCCCGTACCGATGCTTACCGGGCCGACCGACACATCGGACGTGTACTCCACCGAGGAGGCCCACATCCGCAGGACATCCGTCCCGTAGGCCGGATTCGACTTGAGATTCTGCCAGGCGAGCGCCGGCAGCGGGGCCGACACAACAGCAGCCGCGGCATGTTAGCATGGTCGTCCACAAGCCGCCGGCCGGGCCCGCGGCCCCAAGCCGGCACCCGGCACCCCGAGAACACCCGGGAACGCACCTTGCCGCCGAGGATAAAGTGATCCGGCTCCAGGACGTTGCCGATGGACTTGCTCATCTTGGCTCCATTATCGTCATTGATGAACCCATGCGTGATGAGGGTCTTGTAGGGGGCGATGCCACGCGAGGCGACTGCGCACAAACACCGGTCAGCAGGGATGCCGCCCAAAAAGGAGGCAATCGGGCAGGACCCTACGCCCGCAGGCCGGACACCCTCCCGAGGCCCGTGGGCCATGCTGGCGGGGGGCGGGGAGGAAAGAAGGGACGGAGGAAAGCCAGAGGGAGGGCGGCATTTGCGAACGCACTCGACGTCAGCAGCGCCGACTGGAACCACCCGCGGTGCTGGTCCGACCCCTCCAGGTACACGTCGGCCTGAACCGGGGCAAAGTCGCCCTGCACATCGAGCGCCGCCGGATGCTCGGCCGGCAGGGCGCCCAGCTCCTCCAGCCGGTCCAGCAAGTGGGCCCACGAGGTGCCACTGTCAAACCAGACGTCCATCGTGTCGGTGCCCTTTTCGTAGAGGTCCGCTGGGCGTGGCACAGGCGCTCGCGGTCAGTGAAACGGCGCCTCCCGGCCGCCCCCTTCTCCCGGTCCCAAGGGGGGAGACAAAGGCCGCTCTGCTACGTACCCTCGGCCGCCAAGCCCGGCGGCAGGAGATCCCCCACCGGCAGCGTCCACCAGGCATCGGTGCCGCCATTGCGCAGAAGGACATCCCGCACGTGCAAGACCGTTGCCTCGTCCATCAGCACGGCGCCTTCGAGCGTGGAGACATTGGGCAGGTGAGTGGGCATGAGAGAGGGAGGCAGCAGCGGCGGCGGCGGCGGCGGCAGGGGGGGGGGGGGGGGGG